AACAGCCATCCTCCCATCCACCCCTAACGACCCGAACCAGTGCGCATATGTGAGGACCAAAGTGTGAGCAACATCCGGTCATGGAACTGGAATGTTGAGTATCTCTTTTCCAACTTTTCTTGATTTATCCTCCCTTCTAAACAGTTTGACATAAATTGTGATGTATTAGCCTGTAGAAGAATCACCGCAAACGAGCTTGTTCACTACTTTGTGTTCTCTCACAATGGGTATATGCTTTCATTATTACCCCACCCCCTCCACCTTTTCCCCGAAAAGCTGATCATCGGACGATGCGGACAAAATATTCGCAACATTGTAATCTATTTCCTTGAACTATATGATTTTGTAACCTATAAAAGAGTGCTGTATTTGGCTAGTAAATGAGGCACCGAAAACGAGCTTGTTTGCCAAATTGACTTCTCGAAACATTGTAATCTTTGACCACAGTCGAATGGCCAAGTCATGTGATTCCTGATGATCGTTACCAGTATTCGCAATGTCAAAACAAGAAAAAAACCAACACAGGCTAAAGTGGGCACGTGCTGGTTTGCACTCGGAATGCATTGTTTCATGTGATTCCCTTCACGAACCACGTTCGGTTACCAAACAAACTGTTAATTTACCACCTACTTCGAATTTAAGAATGGAAATATAAACAGTGGGAAACTAGCACAGTCATATTCGATTTTTGAAGATCACTCCAATCGGTAAAAAGGAATTGGCGGTGTAATAAACAACAAATGCGGTGTTAGATCAAAACTTTGAGTAAACTGTTTGACCCCGGCAACTAAATAAACCCACTGAAGTCATCTGTTTTCGGTTGCAATTGTTTTCCAGAACTTTGTTTATGAGTATCCTGGAGGAAGAGAAACTATTGTCACTTAGAGCGGATCCAATTCGAGGTGAATATAAGACGTTTTTCACATAAGTGCTATCCATTACAATTATAAATATATGCACAGGAAGTTAACGTGATGACGCATGTTGGTTAGAAATGCACATAAAGGAATCGTTACACTCTCAAGGGGTAAAACCCACAAGCAAAAACATAACAGAAGATGGTATGTCGTGTCTAATGCATGTGTAAGTTGAATGGGCTCACCCAAACAGTACATTCCCAAAACAGTAACGCGCTTCTAGTAGGCTCTCTTCTGGGGACTAGGACTATTGTTACTATTCGTACACTTGTTCTGTATTTAGGATTACACAAAGTGCCATTTATTGGTGTCCGGTGGAGTCACTCTGCTTGTCACCTAACACTTAGATTGATTTAGTAAATGGAACAGTCAGTTAGTGATGCGCTTACTCGCATATGGTCAAAACAGTCCGAGATCACTAGATGTGCAAACGTTAAATGGACAAACAACACAACATAGATCCAAATTGTTCATGTTACCCGATCGGTCACATTGAGTTCTGGAAGAGAAGAACTAGCTCTTAAGCTTGCGACCAACATATTGTACCATGTAGCTCATGATATATTTATCCCATTGATTGCCTGAACAATGCTGACTGTAAGGAGATACCGGTTCGGAGATTTATTCTATCCGTATAAGATGGTCTTCACTTTTAATAATAGTGCTGCGAGAGAAGTGATGATAATTTGGGCTGACAATTCTTCGGACGTCACAACCACGCACAATCCCCAGTTCGTTCGATCAGCCCTAAAGTCAGGAAATGCCAGACTCGAGTTTCGCTCTCCTCAGAACTCGTCAGTAGCGCAAGTGAACTGTCCCGTCTGACATTTGAACACTAAACTAATGCTATTACGATATGCGAGTGTTTTACTCCTGTGTCAAATGACCCGTTCCGGTGCTGGCCAGAATGAATAATTCATTTTTTCCCAATGTCATCTTTGGTGATAATCCGTCGAATCATTGAGCTCGGCAGTGATGAAGGTTGACACGGTATAGTCTCAGTATATCCTCTGTTGACTGTAACTGGAGTTTTTTTACTTACTGAGTGCATGGTTTGCTAGATGGACTGATGCTTGTGCTTGCAGGTGACGTCTGAAGGATGGCTAGTTCAAATTAGAAATGGGTGTGTTGGATTGTCCCCGACCACCGAAATGATTCGGAACTACTGGTTTGCTTGAATTGGTAGCAAATTACTGATAATTATAAATGCAGAACCTTTAATATCTGCTATATGCCACAGTTATTGAATAATAGAGCTAGATACCCAGTTCCTATAAAACCCTCAATTACGAATTCGTGGAGTTTAGAAAATAAATTTTCTAGATTTTGAGTGGGGCCGGTGGACATACCATCGGTCAAAAAAGCATAGTGATGCATACGTACCCCAGTTCAAAGATCGAAGCTTTATTATGGGAATTACTTACAAGCTCATGCTTTTCTCGTCCCATAGGTTAGTGTTGTGGTTAAAATACAGTGATGCATACAATTACTTGCGTAAAATGTCTCGTGATACGGGATTCTTCCATTGCTGCACGCAGCGTCACTTATGTTGGAATGTAAGATGTGCTAATGATTCATCGAGTCTCAGTTTGAAAGATTCAATGCTTGGTGCACACACGACATAGGGTGGGGGAGAGCTTCAGATTGAACACGTTCTGACTACGAATGACTGACGCTGGCATTCCAATCGACATTTTGAGACCATTGGTTTTAATGGATGTCCTTCAAGATGAACGTTGGGTGATACTTTCAGAAGCGGGATACACGGATGGCTTGGGTTTTGCATTATTTGGTATACCATAAGCATATCTCGTCTGATGCGCCGGTAGTGAATGGAAAATAACCCCAAGGACTTAAATCTCTCTGTGTATGCATGACGATTCAACCCGCGAATCCTTTTGGTGGCCATCTTTTGTGGGTGCTCTAGCATTTTGCAATCACGTTGCAGTCATGGATTCCATACTTGGATGACGTTCTCTGTGAGTGGGCGAATGCATGCTGATAGAAGAAGGGGGAAAAATGCAGACTCAAACCGGCCAAAGACCCGCCTAAGCAAACCGGCATTCTTTACCGCTGCGTTCTACATCTTGTCGCGGTTATGTGAGCAGCTTAAGTTTTCTTGAATGATGATGCCCAGGTCCTTCTCACTTGAGGCGTGCGGCGGTTGTTCATTCGCGAGGAAATACGAAAATCGCCCTTTGTGTTTCGTAGAGATAGAACCTTACACTTTGGCACATTGAATTCAATATCGTTCATAATAGACCAGAGATGAGCTGCTTTCAGAGTTTCATGGAGTGCCAGCGAGCCCGCTGGTTGCGTCACTGTATTTCAAATTTTGGCGTCGTCTGCAAACAGTACTGATTTTGGGGATGAATATTGTCTGCACCTGATGATGAATTCTTCCTCAAAGCCAATAGCTTTGCTTTAACCTTTTCGGTAGTGAATGATACGTTAGTTAGTGAATGATGTGGAATTTGATGCATCCAGAGAGGGAGGTACAGTCCTTCATTAGTCGATGACGCGAAAAATTAGGCATACTGGTTCTTCAGCATTCCAGCTGCTTCCATTGGCTGTGGCTCTTCCAAGAGAAGTGAGCACCGATATTCCATGTTTCACTATTCGAACTGAGTTAACATGTTAGTACAAAAGCTTGGGGTTTGAAATAAATATCTGTGATATAAATTCTTGATGGTTTAGTTTATCTTCGCGCACCAACTTGGTGCAGCGGTTTCGCAGCAGTCGGTAAATGTTCCAGATGCACACATTTGGAATTCGTTTGTACTTTCTCCAAGAAAGGTCCCTCATAACTGTCCATTTCTTTGTACGGC